CTTCAGTCCCAGAGCTAACTGAACTGTCATCCTCACAGACTCCAGTGAACCTGCCCCCCCAGGCCTGAACCAGTTCCTGTGTTTATTCCATGTGCTTGTGCTCAATAAACATTGTTAAACTTTTCATCTGTCTCCGTTGTGTTCTGCATATTGGGCTTTTCTGAACCCACCATGACAAAGACAAGAACCATTGAAACCCTGTAGGACAGCGGCCCTCAGGGACCAGCTTTGGACATGTCTGTCTTAGAGGAAACGGTACGGATGGGGCCTCTGGTTGGCTCCTCCTAGAAACAATCAGACTAAGATGATTCAGCTGCTGTCATGATGGAGGTAAGCATGAATAGGCAGGATACAGTTAGCCGCTAGCTAGCATAAATCATTTTACTAGGTCTTTACATACTTCTGTTTATCACATTTTAACCGCAACTTCTCTAACAAGCAACGTGTTAAGAAAGTTGTTAGAAACTTTGGCGGCGCCCATCTGCTGGTCCCTCAGCTTTGGTAGAGTGGAGGTCATGACCTTTTAGTTCATTCACTGGAAAAACTGCCTTCATCCAGTTTGTTCTGTAGGAGGAGGAGAGGGAGGCGCAGCCGAGGCGTCTCCTCTTCGGACAGACAGGTTTGGGTCGGAGTGGGAAAGACTTTCAGCCCTGCCATTTTTCCATCTACATCACCTACCCACCCACACCCCCACGCCGCCACCCCCACGGCGCCACCCCACTGCAGCAGCCCTCAGAAGCAGCTGATGGTGTCTGTTATAATTATAAACCATCATTTTGTCTTTGGTCAGGTTGTTCACAGCTGAACCATTAGAAAGCAACTTCTGCAGCTGCTAGTTAAACTCATTTACTAGTTATTGTTAAAGTTGTTCTCACGCAAGTAAATAAAAGATGGAAACAATAGTTTAGTAAAACTTTAAATTAGATGGACTCTGACCTAAAGGAAGCTCCTGACTTCTGTATCTCTGATGGGACAGCAGCAAACCCAGCCGAACTGGGAAGCATGGTGGTGGAGGGGTGAGGATATGGGCTTGCTTTGCTTTGAGGGATTCAGCTCCTCTATGAAGCAAAGAGAGGCTGTCTATGACAGCAGCAGCTTTGATTGAAGCAGGAAGCCATTGGCTTCACAGCAGCAAAGGTTGAATAAATCAAAGTGTTTAAAGGCTTTGATCATGAAAGCAGCGCTAGGATACAAAGATCACCTGAAACATCATCCCAGGAGGATCCCTCCAGGTTAGGATCCTCTCTGTTTTCTAATACTTTCTCTCACAGCTCTGGACTCATCTGGGAAACCGGCTGATTGCTGAACCTCATCAAAGCTCAGCTGAGAATAAAGTGAGGAGAGGAAAAGCAACAGGACTCCTCCAGGGTGTGAAAGGTGACCAGAAGCAATATTCATCCATCTGTACCTTCATTTATGATGAAGAAAATGTTGGTTGCACATATTAAAATGTCTCGCTGTGTGATGAACATACCTGAAGCTTTGCTGCACACGGGTTCCTCCATTCAGCCAGACTTTCAGTCTGGCTCAGAACCAATGCTGCTCGCCACTCTGCGCTCTGCAGCTTCCTCTTCTTTAATGTGAAATGAAGTGGGCGTTTATCATCAGCTGAACAGAAGTTTGGGTCTCTGTGGTCAGAGAGGCTGTTCCTTCATTTGACTTTAAAAACCCACAGAGCATCTAGATCAGAGAAGAAGAAAGCTGCTCGTCTTTAGTTTAGTGTTTAGTTTTATCAGCTTCCTGCTGATAAAACTAAACACAATCTTTGTAGGAGATTTTTTCTCCTACAAAGAAGATGGCTGCCGTTCATCAGCTGATGATTGACAGCCAGAGAGGATAACAGCTGGAATTATTCATTAAAATAAAACATAAGAAGAGGTGAACATCTGGATAAACTGCCCACTAAGCTATCTAAAATAAAACGGTTCTCCATCTACTGTTTAAACTCAGGTTCCTGATCTCCATGGAAACCTGGATTATCTAGTAAAGGAAAGCTAGAGTTTCTACACTTTAAAACTGATTCTTTTCCTGAGTAGAGATCGCTGGGAACAAACACTTTATTGTTCGTAAAATGTGACGCAGGTTTAACTGAGTTGAATCTTTCTCAGACCAGAGAGATGTCTCAGGTTACATAGGCAGGTCTTATCGGGATTTATTTTTATTTGTTTTAGTTTTTTGTTTCCATATAGGTGTTGTAGATGTTGATGCTGTAGAGGTCTGTCTTGCAGTGGAGCTGGATCAGCCTCTGACTGCAGACACTCTGCTGTTGATGAAGAGGATGCTCACTGCTGTCCATCATCTTCTTCATCTCCAGAGGTTCTAGAGGAGTTCCTAGAACAGAGACGACCTTCTTTATCAGCTGGTTGAGCTTCTTCCAGTCATTAGCTCTGATGATGATGATGATGATGATGATGATGATGATGATGATGATGATGATGATGGTGATGATGATGATGGTGATAGAAGATCTTCCGCCTCTGAAGGACCTCAGCTTCCTCTAGAAGTCCAGTCTGCTCTGTCCCTTCTTGCAGACGGCTTCCCAGGTGTGTCTCCAGTCCAGGTTGTTCTCCAGGTGAACACCAAGGGATTCCTCCTCCTCCTCCTCTTCTTCTCCCAGGATGTTAACAGGATTCAACTTGTTCCTGTTTCTTCTGAAATCTCCAATCATCTCCTTGTTTTGTTGACCTTCAGGATCAGATGATTGTTTCCACACCATGCCACAAAGCGCTTCACCAGCTCTCTGTCCTCAGCTATAGTAACTGAGGACCGCTGGCTGAGTCTTCTTTGGTCCTGGAACAAGGCAGGAGGTCTATAGTCACTGTCTTTGTTGTTGAACAGTTCTTCAGATCACCTGTGATCCACGGTCTATTATTTGGGAAGCCTTTTCCTGTTCTGGTAGGGATGCTGTTATCTACACAGGAGTTGATGTAGTCAGTCACACTCATTGCCATTGCTTTGATGTCTCAGTCTGTAGCCTTAGAACAACCTTGCAGGGCTTCTTCAGCTTCCAGGGACCATCTCCTTACAGTTATTTTTAATGCTGGTTGTCTCTTATAAAGTGGCTTATCATCTGAGCAGAGAAAAACAAGATCGTAATCTGATTTCCCAATAGGAGGTCTTCCTTCAGAGGTGTAGGAGTCTCTGACATTTGCATTAAACAAATGACGAAGCTGTTAAGGTGTTGAAAGGTTGGCAGTCTAGCAGAGAATGAGAAGTGGTTAAAATCCCCAGTCATTGCCTCAAATGCAATTGACTATTGCGTCTGTAGTTGAGCAACAACAGAACTGATTACATCACATGCAGTGTTGGCAACAGCAGAAGGTGGAATAGAAAAAGTTACTAACAGAACATTCTGGACACATAACATGGCTGAAAACCAACTGCCAACAACTCAATATTTGGGCTCCAGTGATGAATCTTCAGTATTTCCTGGATGACACCATCTGTTGTTCACAAGCACTGCAGACCCACCTCCTTCCAAGGTACAGTTTTCACAAGTACCTTAAAGCATTAGACCTAAACCTCTTCAACCTCAGATAGCGTCCATCATCGGCCCACCATGGTGGATTACATGTCCAAACAAACAAATTCATGTCTGCTTGTAACCTGGCTTTTAAAATGGAAGGAAAAACCTAAAACTCAGCAGCAAAAACCTGTTCTAACATCATGGAATCAAGAGATAAATATTCAAGCCTCTCCCCCCCCATGATGCACCTAATAAAACCGGACGTCACAAGATCCTATGAGTCTAGAACTATTACCAGAGATCAGGGACAAATATTATAAAGTATATAAACTTCACGGACCAGATGTTGTCAGTAAAGATCGTAGCTTTTGCTTTTCTCTACAGTTTGGCGTCCATCTTGTTAAATAAAGGATGTCTTAGTTTTCCATCCTGCTCTCAGATCCACCTGGAGGCGTCCATGATGGGACTGCTCATCGTCCTGTTTTCAGTCTGATTATTACCGTCACCATCTCATCTAAGGACCTTTGAAGCCAATCTGGTCATAAGCGTTCTATATCATGGCAAACAGTTCAATAAAAAAAAGATCTTCCTGTCTGAAAAATTCTGATATTTTTCATCATAAAATCTAATCAAAATAAAATTTAAATCAAACAAGATTTAAATCCCAATGAGTTAAAAGTCAAGCTGAAGGCAAAGTGTGGATGTAACTGAGCGTAAAGGTGTTTAATGTCCTGCAGAGATCAGAGTCCTGACTTTAGATCTGTCCCTCATGCAGAACATTTAGAAGAAGTTCAGGAGATCTGGAGCCAGAATGTGGAACAGGACGCCTAGCAGACCGGGACACGTCAGCTTTCTACAAAAAACACAGCAGAACTTATTTTATGAAGACAAAGGGAAAAAGATGATTACTGGTCTTTCTTACTGGTTGAGTTGTTCCAGTGGGATCCTTGCAGGGTTAGCAAAGATGATGGTTTGTTCAGAATGAAGGTTCTTGTCCAGGAGATGTTGGTAACTCCAGATGTCTAAAGCAGAGTGAAATATGATGAAGGCAGCGAGGGTGAGCAGGGATCGGTCTGAACCTGGCGCCTCAAGGAGCAACTTTCCAGGAAGCTACGGAGCGTCAGAGCGAAAACAATGGCTCCTGGAAAACTTGGAACGAAGGAGGAACCATGGAGCAGCTCAGGAGACGAGCAACGCAGAACAAACCAAGGAGGCCAGGAGAGAGAGAAGGTCAGCATGTTAGCAGGGAACCCAGGAGACTAGAGGCAGGCTGGAGTCAGGGGTCAACACTGTGACGGTGAATTGCTGGCAGTGGTTGCTCCTTATAAACCTCGTCCTTTAATGAGCGTGGATGGGAAACACCTCCACCAACCTCCATCCCAACAGGATCCCAACAATCAGGCTAATTAATCAATCAGTCTGGTCTCCTCCGCAGCCTCTCTGGTCTTCGTGTGTCTTTGTTTAGTTGTTGATTCAGCAGGTTGCTGCCAGCGATGTGACCTCATCACCGTCCACGCTCCAACAGTCCATCCATTTCCGTCACGCTTATCCCTGCTGGGTTAGCGAGGGATGCTGGTGCTTCTCTCCAGCTGTCTAAGGGCGAGAGGCGGGTCCACCATGGACAGCTCGGCAGTCCATCGCTGGGCAACACTCCAACAATCCGTTCCTTCAATTCTATTCAGTTTATTTCTATAGCTCCAATTCACATCATCTCATCTCAGGTCACTTTATAGATCCAGATCAACCAGATCATCCAGTAAGATTGATTCAAAGTTTTCTATCTAAGGAAAACCAGCTGATTGCATCGACTCACAGACTGCCTCAATGGGTCCCTGAGCAAGACCCTTAACCCCCCACCGCTCCCCAAGGGGAGGGGTTACATGCAGGGAGGGAATTTCTCCAATTTCTCAATAATGTTTAAAGTTATTATTATTAATATTACCGGTAGTTTTAAAATAATTTGTTTTAATTTAATCAGTTTATTGTTAAGAAACATTTAACTCCTTTTTATTCACCTGAACATTTGGATGTTTTTATTATCATCATGAGTCCTACAGCTAGTCACAGCAAATTAAACAAATTAAACTGTTATAGTTTTTTTCTGAAATTATAACAGTATTTTTATCTCAGTCTAATCCGCTGGTCATTGAAAGTGACGGAAACGTTTTTTCAGTTCCTAAAAACAAGCAGCTTGGCGCTGATTCTCCGCTCAGCCGCCCCAACTTCAGACGTCAGTAACAGGAAGAAAAAACAGGAAGTGACGTACAGGAAGGAAACCCTGCAGGTCTACGTCCCAAAAAAAGCAAGTTCCTTCTTATAAGGCCTTTCTCAGCAACGACCTAAACTGATCATCTTATCAACCAACATAAAGGTCCTGGAAGGGAGAAAAGTAGATTTAAATGTCCAAAGAAAAAAACTTCTGAATTAGAAAAGCAGATGTTTACCCACAAAACTGCTTAATGAAGGAAATAAACATCATAAACTTTTACATTTTTAGCAGGTTTGCTGTTCATCCAACAAGCAGCTGAGAGGTTATAGAAAAAGTCCAGGTCAAACTCTACGGTGCCGTTTTGGGAGTTTGGCTGTTATAGTTCTTCCCTTTAGGAACTTTGAGTTTTCAATTATCTAATTATCCTGTTTTTATTTCAGGTTTATTTTCCATGTTATGTTTATTTAAGCAGTCTTTAGTTACTCTCTGCTGCTGACTCCTTTCCCCTCGCTCCCTTCTAGTCTCTTCCATCCACACCTGCTCCCAATCAGCTGATTACTCCAGTCTTTGTTCAGTCTCCCATATATACTCCTCCAGTGCAGTTCCTCCGTGCTGCTTCCTGGTTGTTTAGTTGCTTCTTATCTCTGGTTCCCCACGTAGTTTTTTCCAGATGTTTGCTGGTTTTTGGTTCTCTATATTTTTGTGTTTTTGCATGTTTGCTTCATGACATGGGCGTAGTGTCTGAAATTCTGATTTAGTCATGAATCTTTAAATTTGGAATGCTGTTAAATACTTAGTTATAAAAAATGTTTTGCAAAAAGAAGGTTTTATTATTTTCAGCTCTCTTGAATTACTTGGTGTGAATGCAAAGCTTAGTGGCATTAA